TTTATTATTATTATTATTAAAAGTTTCAAAATTGATAAAAGTGTGAAAGGTTTATGTGTAGGGCAAGAAGAAATGTCTTTGAATTTATGTCATGTTTAAAGATTGGAATATTCTTATTATTCTATAAAACTCTTGATTCATCGTAATTTTCATTCGGAGTGAATATTTTGGAATATAAAAATTACACCCAAAATACTATAGAAGATGAAGAATTGAGTCCTTAAACCTGCCCAAATAATAGATTGGGCTAGTTAGCTTATTTACGATGGGCCATCATTATTGGGCTTTGTGGTTGAAAGATTTGTGGATATAAAGAGTCACATTTTTTATATTTAAGAAAATAGAATACAATTAAAATATAATTAAATATGACTTAATTTTAGAGACACAACTCAAGTCTTTTTGGATAGCATATAATTTGAGTCATTTCTATATATTTAATCGTTAAATTAAGAATTTTAATTTTATAAAAAGATAAAAGAGTAACACAATCTTTATATTCGTTACCCTATGTACTCCAAGTCAAAATATTTAAACATTTTTTATAATAAAAAATTGCATATTTTGAAAAAAAAATCCTAAAAAAATTTAATATCAACTAAAAATATCATAACTGTCATAACATATAGAAGAATACCATTTTTACCTTAATGAGATAGTTTTGTAAATTGAGTTAAATATCTTATAAATAATATGTTATCAAAATAGTTTTAGTAATTTTGAGATAAAAAAATATCTTTAATAAAAAAGGATGTGATAAAAAAACTTTAAATGAATAAGAGATTAAGTTAAGTATTTTATTATTTATAATATATTATATATAACTTTTTTTAATATACCCTACACGTAGGAATCTTTTAATTAAAAAAAAAAGTATTTGGTATCTGATCCCCTACCGAGGCATCATAGTTGGTCATTGTTCACTTTAATAATTCAATTAAAGTCAAAATAGAAATCCAACACTGTCATTGGTTACTTGAACTGAGAAATAGAAATGTCAATGGTAGCTATAATTGCAACTACCAACTTATGAGCCTAGCACTAACTTCATAATTAACCTAGATTCACCCAAGATCAAAGAGTATAAGAGTGTGGGAATTGACAAACTCATTGCAACAACAATTTTATTGGTCTTAATCCTAATGTCAGTGATTTATTTCCAAAAGAGAGACATTAATTCAACTAATTGCAGCACACAAATTGCATTACATGCTGATGACAGTGCATGATCACTCTACTGTGGAAAAAGAAGATCGAAATTGACACGACATTTTGATTACATCATGTCAGGTCTTGTCTTTATTCTCCCTTGATCACCAAAACGTTGAAGCCACCAAATGATTATAATCACTTTACTAACTTCAGCAATATCTGCAAATGATATCAAAAGCACTCATATGGCTAAAGTGTGATCGAGCCCTGTTAACTGAACCATACTAGGTTAAGGTACTTTCGTATACTTCATCATTGCTAAGGAAAATAAAGTTCTGGGACTCTCTACCCTTAATTGAAACATAAAACACCAACGTTACGCAGGTAAAATATTGCAGCTGACTTGTTCAATCATCAAATTATTTTGGATTGAGTCATGTATAGAAATGAAAAATAAATGAAATAAAATGGGAGTTTCGTTGACAGTATTTTGATGAGAAGAAGAAAAGATGAAACGTAGAATTGCATGGGAGTTTCGTTGACAGTGACAGGTGATGCTTATGGAATATATTTATATATTGAAGAAAAGGTAAAGTATTGTGAAGCCACTTAACGTAACTTTTGGATTTTGGTAAAACCTAAAGTTTTTCTTGTTTTAGTTTGCTAGTTCATACTTTGATTTGATTTAGAAAATGTTGTTGGTATTCTTGCAGAGTACTTGGTTGAAAAGGTAGTGGGAACACTTGGTTTAGGCATCAGCAACACAGGCAATGACAGTCTGTGGGTGGAAATAAAATTCAGAATTAAGACAAATTTGAACATGAAAAATTCAATTTCGATTGAAAATTGTTAAATGTAGGAGGGTTTGTAATATATATGTTTTTACATGTCAAAAATTTTAATTGTATTTATAAGTTATTAGAAAATCCATTTGAATTAATATAAAATAATCAATAAATCATATATTTATATTATTTTATCTTTATATTTTGTGATCAAATTATTCTAATACAATCATTACTAAATAAAATATCTCTACTAAATTATAATTTCATCCCTTAAAATTATTTATGTCAAATTTTATTTTAACTAATAAATAAATAAAATAATAAATATCAAATAATTTATATTTTAGTATTTCCATTACATATATTTTAATCTACATAGAAAAAATTTAAATATTTTTAACTAATAGTAATTTTAGAAAAAATATGATTCAATTAAATAATATAATATGTAATAAAAATTATACTTCGAGACCAAATGATGGTTTAGATACACCGTAAATATATATATATATATATATATATATATATATATATATATATATAAAGTTATATAATAATTAAAGAAATTTAAATCACGTATATATGTAATAAATAAGAAAAAAAAACAATAATATACTTAACCAAATTATTTTTAATTAAATTAATTAGTTTATATCGATTTTTTTTTAACTCAAATTAATATAATAATGGAAGCCAACTTATAAGCATTCCTTAGGGTAGTCTTTTTTTTTTTTTTAAAGATGATAAATTTCATCAAGTTTAAGAAACAAAAAATTAACGAAATGACAGGTGACAGTAAAGTAGTGTTTCTTAAAATAAAAATAAAAATCGTTAAGCTAATGTTTGATAAAAAAAAGTCAAAAAATTTACTTGAAACTGAAATATTAACAAGAAATTTTATTTGAAAACTTCAAAACTAACTTATTGAATATGAGTGTTTGAGAAAATTATTTATTAAAATATATTAGAATATATTTTTATCTTATTTTAAACTCTTACTATATAGATAATTTTTTTAAGTGATAGGCTACCTAAAAATAAATGTATTTTGTTAATATAGGTAATATCAATCCATTTTCTTAATTTATCATTCAACTGTATAGTCTTGTACCTATACACCATTTGTTTCGAGTATGTTTGAGTTCATTCATATATGACCATTCTGCTGAAAGCCTGGCAGAGCCACTCCTTGTCCGTGCTCCACCGACAATCACTTCTCGCCTTTAGTGCCCGAGATGTCACGTTATTAGTTTAAATTATTATATTTTATTTATATTGTATATATTCCAGTCTTTATTTTATACTATATCTTAAATATTTTGTATCATCTTAAAAGTATAATATTAAAATAATAATATTTATAAAAATTAATTAATAAAATGGAAATTTTAATAACAGTTTCTTTATTATATATAACTTTTAAAATTATGACAACTTTTTTATTGAGTTATTGTGTATTGTATTTATAGAAAATTAAAATGAATTGATTTAGTTTAGTTTTTCATTTTTAAAATCAGTTTTAAAAATTAATTTTAAAAAATTATTTAAAAATATTAAAAATTTGTTTGATAATTTTTTTATGTTTAAAAAAAATTAGATGAAAAAAATAACACATATAACAAGAATAATAAATTAAAAAAATTATTATTTTAAAACTGAAAAAGAAAAATATTTTTAATAAAATCATTATCAAATACCATTTTTTAGTCTCTAATAGTAAAAAACTGAAAATTATTTTAAAAATACTATACAAAACATATTCTTAACTTTGTAGGAATATAAGTAATGTAATAAGTTAAATATATTGCATCATATAGACATATTAAAAAAGTAAAAATAATGTAAAATAAATGTATCGAGTATCATTATTAATCCCTTAAAAACTTATTTAGAGTTGTAATTTGATGTTAATTATTTTGGTAAAAAAGTCTCCTTCAAAAGTCTAGTATCTTGTGTGCACGTAATGTGGCTCATGTCTCCTTCAAATCCAACTAATTGACGGCTCAGGTTCATGTTCACGTTGGACAATTTCACTATAAAAAATACACGTAATCAAGTAAAAAAATACTACCTAACTACTACTACTATACTATCAATTTTTAAGCGTAGAATAATCACATTTTTATTTTTAATACTTACACGGAGGTGGAAGAGTTACGATTCTTTCTTACATTTTAGTATTAATAGTTTATGCATACTTGGTTCTAATTTTGAGAGTCAAAATTTCTGTTTGGTGCAGATAATTGAAGATCTTTCATGAATATCCTTAAACTATCATGCTGAACAGCTGTGAAAAAAAGAGTTATAAGTGATCGAATATGTATATATCTGCCATTAGCCTTCAATTAAATCACTCCACGGTGTAATCCAACTTTCTTACGTTATACTTTTACAATTATTATTATATGATGATCTAATTTCTTATGTCATTCAATGACACACGTTCTTCCCCCATATAATAATATGATGCAAACAAAGTTCTGCGTAAAGAAAGTGTCAAAGTACGTATAAATCTGTTGGGTGCTATTGTTTACGCAAAAAACATCTTCGGCTGCAAATTCAGATGAAACTTCTTAGCAATAAAAAAACCAGTTGTAGTGCAGAGGAAACTGCAGAACTATTAATGAAACATTTAATAATGGTTCATAGATAACGTATTGTAATCCTTGGGTTCGTAATTATGGCGATTCTTGAGCCTTAATCACCGTTCTCCAACTGCATACTATTGTAATTAACATGATTACACTACAGGAAAGAAATTGAGTGTTCGTCAAGCTGCTGAAACCAACCAAATTTTTTAAAACAAACAAGCGGGTCTATCCCCAACAACATATCCACAAAAGAAAAAGAACAATTTGACTATTTTTCCCACAGAAAAAGTGTAGGGTAGCCTTTAAATAAACCAGAAAACAAAGGGTAAACCAGTAATTCAGAAGGGTTGGCACCCCATATAAACTACAACAACAGCTCTCAAACATGGACCAAACCACATACGTGTAACACTCATCACTCTCTTTCACAAACTGTTTCAATCTACCTGCTCCTTTAGGCACACACAAAATGTTTAGCCCTTCACATCTCAAAACCTTGCACCCTCTTCAAGTCTTCTCGGTAAAACCATCGTCCCCATCTTCAACCATAAGCTCCATGAAGCTGAAAAGAATCGTCCACACCCTCATAGTCTCCCACTTGTGCCGAATCATTCGCGCACTCTCCAAAGTCAAAGCTGTCGTGGTTGAGATTCTTAAGGACAATTCAAGCATCCACTTCCCTCACAAAAAGAATTTCAACAACAGACGCAAGAAGATCATCTTAGGGTCCTTCAGGCTTCACTACAACTGGTGCTCCTCCAAATCCTCGCACGTGTTACCGGTTCCAGAACCGGTTTTCGAAGGTTTGTCTGCAGCCACTTTTTCTGGGGAGCCACAAGATGAAGATTGCCCCTACCTTCGGTGGCTTGAGGAGAAGAAGGTTGAAGTTGAAGGTGGTGAGAAGAAGGGTGCAAGTAGTGCAAGTGCACATGCAGGTGCAAATAATGAGCATGATATGAATGAGATTGATGTGCTGGCAGAAATGTTCATTGCCAATTGCCACGAGAAGTTCAGGTTGGAGAAGCAAGAGTCCGATAGGAGGTTCCAAGAAATGCTGGCTAGAAGCATGTAAAGTTGTAAACCAAAAAGCTCAAGGTGTTTCGGTGTTTCTTTTCGAAGTTAGTTCCCTCAGTTGCGCTGTGCTTTCCCACATTCGAATTCGAACCAGTTGACAACATGGGAAAGAAAGGTTGTCCATCGGGTTTTATTATTTATGGTCATATTTATTAATTTGCCTTTTTCTTTTTATCCAAACTTTTCAAAAGACAAAGGGAGGGCAGTTTGAAGATTTGTACATGATATGTGATGGGATTGGGAATTGTGCAATTCTTCTGTCTGTTGATACGGTCACGGTGGCTTTAACTTTTCATTTTCAGACTTATTTTGATGATAATTGAAAACTGCTGAATGGAATTATTATGTAGATCTCATCTGCAGTATTCTAGCTCATTGTATACATAATACATGACCTCTCTGCTTAATTACCACCCTTGTTTTCATATCAATCTACGTTTGGTTCCGTTTTTTTCTTTTATTGGATATATATATTTTGATTGTTGAACATCTAGCATAGTTATTTTACGTTCACATTCACGTATTCTCACTGTAATGGAAATATGTGACGAGGAAGTTACTCACATTCAAAACCGATACAACTGTACACAGCGTTGTGTTTCGAACACCTAAATATAGCCACAAGTTATTGGACATCAACGTCTTATCCATTGCAAAACGATTATCGGAGGTACTTTCTTGTTTGCTAGTCCATGTGTAGGTTGTGGCCAAAACAATGAGAAAGAAATATAAAACTTTCCAATTCATTTGTTAACATATTTGTTCAGTAGCCTCTTGGAGATCGAGTCCAAATATGATATTTTTACTTTTTAGCATCTTGAACCTTCCAGCACCCTACCATATCTCTTGCTGATTGCATAGCTATGGAGCACATGTCAATTGTTGAGCATGATTTTACAGAAGTTATGTTTACTTCAAATTGTTAACCATTTTTGTTTGTATCTGCACTCTAGATAAAGACTGGACTTGGTCTGTACCCAACTCACCTACTCCAACTCTCCTCTTTTTTTTTTTCCTTAATTTACAAACATTTGATGAAATTTCTGAAACTAAGAAATGGGAGAAATTGTTTAAAAGGGTACAAAATGAGCTTTATGTAGCACACTAGGTGGGAGATACACTAACAGAAAAGACTAGTTCTTGGGTTCATAGCAGAGAATCTTAATTAACCCTTAACATGATACAGACAGTAATAATATTAAAATGATGGTCCCCATTGGGTAGGTAAGTGCATGGATCAAGATGCACGCACTCTCACTCACTACCGGACAGCTAGACAGGTTTGAAACAGGCAAGATAGTTAAGGTGATAGATCCAACATGTAGTACTTTTCAAACCCAAAATCATGTTTACAAGTAAAGTAATATATACTAATCCAACGAGCTTGTCATCTGTTTCTGCAACCTTCAGATGTACCAACTTAGAAGGTTATCCTTCCCATTCAACTACTGATTGTGTTCTGTCTTACTTGACTAGAATAACATTTAAGAAAAAGAGAAAAACGGAAATCTTGAATCAGCCTTAAAGGAAGAGCACATGTCCATGGCAAGAGCACAGATCATTGATGTCATGTGCTGATGCACTTAAACAAAGAAAAGTTGTATTCTTTTAACCTGGTTTGGATATCAATTAGTTTTTGTTACTCTACCAGGTCAGCCAATAGTGGCTTTGCACACAAATTCGTACACTATTTAGAAGCTTTTTATTTATTTATTGCCCTGTTGATCATGGACCATGTATATGCAGCAACATTTGCTCAATAGTTTGAGTATCTCCGTAATTGAGCAAAAAATAAACCTGGTAGAATGGAAGGTAAAAGATTTGTTTGTCTTCAAGCGGGTGCCTGAAAGTCAGAGATAAATTAATTTATAGTAGCTAATTGCAAGGGTAAATAATTGATATTAGGATAATGAACTAGGAGTGTAGGGTAATCTTAGGATGGGGACTTCCTGTCTGATTTATGTTGGATCTTGAAGAAACCTGTGAGGAATTGATAATTAAACAAATGGTAAATAATTTTGAAAATAAACTGTTAAATATACAAAAAACTGTATTAGCACGATCCCAGATATGATTAATAAAAAATTGGATAAGCAAAGTATCACATCAGTTTGTACATGATTAGACTATCTTATGTAATTGTTGAGGAATCTCAACTATTTGATGAAAGGAACATATAAATATTATCAAACCATTTATTAATTCTTATTCGGATTCGAGTCTATTCAATGAAAAACAAATGGTTAAGAAAGAGAAATATTATATGTACTAATGTTGTGTGTGAGTACAGAAGCAAAGGAATTAGGAGCAGTCAATAGTCCTTCAGCAATTATACATGGTTAATATGACAGTAAAAGGAGATGGCCATGGCATCAATATTGATGCTTTTATTCTCCTGACTTATGCTTTATTCCGAAACTTCTTTAGCTGCTTTATTGCAGATATGTATGGAAGCTTTAATGGATACAAACTTGGTGCCTTTGGTCTCCTTGTTACCATAGAAACTGCTTTAACACATAAAAGTGAAGGGGTGGAACCACTTGTGATTTTATTCTCTAAGACAGGATCAAATGGCTGAGGTGCTTCTACCTGCTCTAATTCCTCACTACAAATTTGAAAGGCAACTTCTTGGACCACTGGCCTCTCAATACCCCAACTTATAGTCAACACTGTGGATACACAAAGAAACAAAGAAAGACAATAATACCACCCTTTTGGCTAATTATTATGATTCAACTTTTTCAATTAATGATAATTCATGATTAAGTAATTAATAGCAGAAAATGTCAAATGTAAATTCTAATATTAAAACTCATTTAAATTTGTTAACACGTTTTTTTAATGACATGGATACTAATGGGCCAAAAAGAACAAATCATTATTAATATAAAATTTGAAGACATTATTTAACTTATCTATTTCTACCTAATTCACATTCACATTTGTTCTCTCTTCTCTTATCAAAGCTATGAAAGGAGTAGTTACTACTTCCTCATTGAGTCAAAGATATTATTGAAATTCTTAAAACATATTCATCCACAAGTCTCAATTGTTCTCTTTATCATTTTGTTTTTTTCTGAAAATGTTTCATAAGACATCATTTTTGTAAAAGAAAAAAAAGGCTTTTCATCGTTATGGGTAAAAAAAAATTTGATTTTGTAAAAGGGGTCGAAAATTTTAAATTTTCCTTAAATGGATTTAATCGTGTCGATTGAAATCATGCTTGAAACCACATTTTTTATTAAAACTGTGCTTCTAACCACAATTTTATTTTTTATTTTTTTTGAAAAACTGATTTCCTAAAAAAAAAGGAGTTTCTCTAACCATGTTTCTGTAGAATTTTATCATGGTGAAAGTTTAAACATGAGTCAAAAGACGAGTTTGTACTTCAACACATACTCAACACATTTTCTACCGTTTCCTTTTTTAATTTTCACATTCCGTTCAACCTTTATTTTTTTACTATTGATCATTCATGTCAAGTTCTATCTCCAATATTAATATTATATTGTGTGACAATATATATTTTAAAAAAATAAAAAATTCTAATTTTAAAAAATATTGAGAAACTCTTGTTATCAATCACGTTTTTTTTTAATAACACTAAAATCGTGCTTGAAACACGATTTTAATAAAAAATAGCTTTCAAACACGATTTTATATCATCCAAAATTGTTTTACCTAACATGATTTAATCCATTTTGAAAAGATTTAAAAATTTTAACCCCCATGAGTAAAATCGAAAAATTTTTGCCAGGTGAGAAAAAGTGATGCAAACTGCTAATAACGTAACAATACACCCACAAAAATGATGGTGAAAGTGAAGAATGGCGAAAAAGAAATATGGATTCTGAAATATGAATAAAATAGAACAAACAGCTTTAAGGCACTCCCGGCTTTTTAGTCTATGTCTACGATCCTTCTTTCATGCGTCATAATCCATCATTTTTCTTTTTCAATAGCTTTGGATTGTGGATATTGAAAACGTCGTTTTCTATTTTTTGCAAAAAAAAAAAAAAGTGGTTTCAACAAATATAATAACGTATTTAAATCCTTACTGGAGACTTTCAATTTACAAAGGTGGGCTTGGAATTACGAACTTGATTTTGCTCTTGGGAAAATTACTTTGGTTTTTCACGATTGTTTAGTATTAAAATATTGTTTGACTGCAACATAAATTTTGTCTTAAAAATGTTTAGCAAAAATATTAGCATAGCTAGATGAATTAAAAAGGGTCCATTTATATGATTTTTTTAACATTTTTATTTTTTTATGAATACAATATGTTTTTAGATAATTATAATAACTTTTTAATTGATTTTGAGTTTTTATTACTTTCGTTTAAATATCAAATATTTTATTAAATATAAAAATATATTATATAATACCTAAAATAAATAGTACAAGATTGATTGATATAAGAATTTTAATAAAGTGATAAGGATAAAAAAAATACATTAAAACTCAACTTTTTTAAAGTAATAAATAATATCTCTAATGAAAATGGCTAACTAAAATTACTTAAAAATAAAAATAAATATTTTATTATAAATAATTTATTTAAGTTGTTTAACATTAAAAAAATATTTATATAAATTTTTAATAAATCTTTAAATAATTCGTATGTAATATTCATAATAAAATATTTAATTTTGTTCTTAATATTAATCTCTTTGAATATACCGTAAATTGTATATAAATAACCTTGCACAGTAAATATTTCTTTCTTTCTTCCATCCCGTTTGATTAAAAGGGGAGATCGCATTTTCTTCATTCATGCTCAAATTAAGTGGGAAAATGAAATCCTTATTTTTTAAAACATATGAATGATAATGTTAAATAATACTTTTTTTTATTAATAAAAAAATGAAATAAAATAGATAAATAATAATATAAGAATATATTGAAAAGATATTTGTTAAGTAATGGGTGTCTAAATATCAAAACCCAATTAAGTATGTTTCAAATCACTGCCAATAAGTTCCAATTTATTTGGCTGTAAAGCAAACTTTATGCCTAAAAGATGCATGATATGGCTACATGTTTCAACAACTCACTAGCCAACAACCAAACGTGCACTTCTCGCTTTGCCATCTGTTCTCATCACTCGTTTTGACCTTGCCATGATTGAGTTCCATGAATCACCCCTGCCCAATAGAACACATCAAACATTGCAATATTTTTTTCTTCACAAAGGAAAGTAGTTCATGTGAGTGTTACTAGTTAGCCTGCACCATCTCTTATCCCAAAACCATGATCAATGATACACTGGTTGAAATCAAATAACAATTCTTCTCTCTCTCTCTTACACACTCTTTGGTGAAAATATATACAAACTTTAATTTGGTCTTGTTTTTGAAATAGAAAGAAGAATGTTGAAGAGAAGAATATAAAGTTACACAAGCCAAGAATAATAAGTAACCCTACAAGGATGAAGTTTATAAATTTTGAATCTTTTGGATATAGATCTAATCATGATCTGTCAAAAATTCCAACATTTTCTTAATCAAAAGTGAAATTCCCACCTAGACCTCTGATCAAACTGGTGAAGTTACTTCCTTTTGCAAAGCAAAATCCTTGGAATATACTTTTTTAATTCTAGTTCTTTATGTACACTTTCTGCCTGAGCTTTCTCTAATTCCTTCAGCATTATCACTAAAACCATACAAGAGAAAACAGAAAACGAGAAAAAGAGCTAAGAATCTGGAACATTTTTAGTAAACTATATAAGCAAGAGACCAATAAAACAGACAAGATCAAATCACAAAGAATTCTTCCTTGCTGAGATCTCTACAAGAAATGTCTAGTCCTACTAGTTCTGAGTAGGATTTGGTATGCTGGGTGGTGCTTTCCTCAGGCTCGGTTCCACAACTTTGTTCTTCTGTTTCTTGCTTCCACTTATCTTATTTATACTTGTTGAAAAAGAAGCCAAGGATGAAGATAGAAGCTCTCTTGACACTGACAGACTTGTCTCTCCTGAAAACCTCTGTTCATGGGAGAGAGAGTACAAGGAGAACAGAAGAAAGTGAACCACAACCAAGGCCAAGACAGCTCCCAAAATTTTGCAACTTCTGATCTTCATGATAAATGGAGAGAGGGTTTTTAGTAAGAAAGTGAGAATGATGATGTTCAAGAGTTGGATCAGTTTATATGAAAAGGGCAAGAGCATGCCTTGTGCACGTGGTTCACCATTACTTTCACAATATCATATTCTAGAAGGGGGAAAAGGGGTAGCTGATTAGTTAAGCAATGGTGTTGGTTTTTAGTTAATGATATGGTTAATGTATTTTCAACATTCCATTACTGAAATGAATGTTAACAATAATTTGAGATTGAATGACAAATGCATGGTACTTTTTCACTCTCTAGAGTACTAGGTTAGAACCTGGAAGTTGCTGATCTTACTCCTCATTATGTAACAACTTTTAAGTAGTGATTCCTCTAGGATCATGTGATTGCACACGTGATTCTGAGCCAAAAAACCTTGTATACTCATGTACAGTTTTTCACAGCCTTCCCAACCAAAATAATGGTTTATCGGCTTTTTTATTAGATTGAGAACTTGTTGGGCTCATAGTTGGTAAAATGCCTAAGTAGTAGCCAACTAAACATATCATATCTAATAATTTCTATTTTGTCATTTTTCACCACTTTGAAAATTTCATTTCGACCAGTGTTTTTGCCCTATGGTTCCATGTTTTCAGCATGACACGTGAAAACTGAAAACCTTACACTTGAGTTAGATTAGAAGTGAAGCAGAAAATCCCAACTATCTTAGCTGGCTTGTCAGAAACATTTGAAAACACTGTTGCTCCTTGAAGATTTACACTAGACAATCTTTGTTTTCTTCTGTTTCTTTTGTACTCGAGATTCTTCATGTTTTCCCAAGGTTGGAAAATGGGATGAGTAAAAACTACGAAATTCAGCGTCTTTGAAAATTTGTAGTCACCTCACCTCACATGATTGAGCTAAAACCCCATTTTTAGTGGCTAATGTTGACTTTCCTCTAGGACCCTGTTGTTAGAGATTCATTGAGTGAATGTGAAACAATTCCACATACACAATCACCTTTATGTGCATTATTTTCACATCTGGGTTTTCCCAAAAATTTTATAAGTATTCTTAATAATGTAAGATTCTTAATAGACATTTATACTATAGAGTCTAATTTTTATTGTAAACTCGAGTAGTTGAAAAGGTTGAATGGTTTATTGTAAACTTTTTACATGTGCCTAATTTTTACAAATAAAATAAAATCTTCGAAATAATAAAAAATAATTTTTTTAATTAAAGATTAAATTTTAAAAGTGCATCCTCTAACTTCTTAATCCACTTATAAGCCTTTCTGCCTCTTAAACGTTATACTAGAGGAATGTGGGTCTTTTTTTTTTCAATTTATTTTTTATTATTTTACTATAGACCAAGTTAACCAGAATTAATAATCCCATAGTTGGTTAATTTAATGTGTAAAACGCGAGGAGGTAAGGGTTAAGATAGCAACTTAGGGGTGCTAATAGAATACCCAATTTAACCTCTTCCATTTCCAACTTAAAAATATAAGACCATTTGCATGTTTATTGGGCCATACTGTACATGAACTAAAGCCTGCTTAAGTCAGCACGTGAAGCACCTTGCCGCGTGTCTTTATGACATAAATTTAAACTTCAACTTCAAAAAGAGTTGTTTAATCTATGTATCTAATATTTATTTTATCAACTAATATTTTAATATTAATTTATTTATTATATATTACACATTATCAAATTAAAAAAAAAAACTAAATTAACAATATTCATAAACTTTAATATAAATCCATTCATGTATTTTATAACTCGTTTGTTCTATACATTTAAAACAAAATATTACCATAACATTCAAATAATATAATTACTCTTCATTGTAATGGACTAAAGCATATTCAAAATTTTATATTCTTACCAATATAATTTATACTCTTTGCAACCAATGATTTTACATCGTATGCATAAATATTTAATAAAAATTAGATTTAATAATTATATAATGGTTTAAAATGCAGTATATTTGCTACTTTGTGAGGAATTATTTTATTATCATGTTATTATTTGGAACGAACCAAATATAAGAATGGCAACAATACGTTCTTCCTACACACCAACATTCTTCTCTGAAGTCTGCACTGGAAAATAGCAAAGGAATCACAAGTCGTAGCAACAGAGACAAAAGAGAAAAAAGTTTATTATGAACCGTTGGTAATTGGTACATCTTTAGAATTTGCTCCTTCCCATTTTCATTTATACTCCAGAGAATTCTTTTCTTGCTTTATTTCTTTCTCAAGGACAAGGTTTGGATTGGCTCTCACACCTGATAAACAAAGAACAAGAAGAAACAAGAACAAGATTTCATTTCAAGTGAAAACAAATAAAACAACCAAGAAGTAAATTGTTTCAGTTGCAGCTTCGTCCACTATTCAGATACCATGGACGAATTTGTTTGTCAACTTGAGAAGGAAGCATACTATTATGTCTTGCGTGCTTTCAGAATTCAATCCAAAGATCTTTCATGGGTAAGTATTAGTTCCTTCTTTCCCTTCCTTCTCTCTTTATGATCTTTGTGTTTTCCCAGTTGAAGTCGAATCTCCTGCACTTGTTCTTCATCAGGAAAAGGAAGCAGTGCTAACTAATCTTAGGGAAGAACTGAGGATATCAAATGATGTTCACAGAGAGCTTCTTCGCACGCTTACTTCTGATGAAACTCTTAATCATTTAAATAATTTCAACAGAACGGAACCTCCACGTAACATGTACAAGTGATAGTACTTTTTTCGTATAAGTTTAAAAGTTTGGTGATAATGACTATTTAGTAACTTCTCTTGTGCTGCTTCTGCTTTGGTGCGATGCGATATTAATGTAATGGAAATGCAATCAGACAGAGAGAGTGCAACGTTAACGTGATGGAAAATACAACGAGACAGAGAGAGTACAATGTTAACGAGATGGAAAATGCAATGAAACAGAGAGAGGAACCAACTAGCCATGGCAGAAGGCACCAACATGCAAGACAAAACATACCTCCGCACCCCAAAAAGACTCGGAGAATATCCGAATTGGTTCGTGTGCCTTCACAATCTCTCTGATATCTTTCTTATATTTTTTCACAACAAAAATCACTTTTTGTGTTATTTTATTAGTATTGTGATGATGCCACACGAGGGCAATGTACACAACCTGGTGGGCTAGGCCGCCATAATGATATTCCAGTGACAGGAAGAATTAGAAGACATGATAATGCTGGGGGCACAAGCATACCACCTTCACCCGAAAGAGATGAAATGACTTTGGTAGACTCAAAAAAATTGATTGATGAGGTGAACAAATGACATTGATTTAACCTGCATAAGTATTGAGCATCAGAAAAATAGGGAAACTAATTATACAATGAGGCTCTGGTGTTTCCAGGTGGAAAGGATTCTTGCTGAAAGTAGTCCTTCAAATTCTTCGGAGCTTGAGAGGGCCAAGAATTTGTTGTTTGTACGTATGATTTATACTTGACCTTTTTTCTCCTGTTATCATTGTTCATACTTCATACTGTTAAGTGTTGTATGTACAGGAGCAAGAGAAGGACCTTGTTCAAGCAATTGCATGCATGACCACTTTCATTCTGTGATTATCACACCGTCTCTGATTAATTATGATACATAAAGGCTAAAATTGGTTGCCTTTTTTTTTTTTTTTTTCTTTGACAGAAAAAAGTAATAATGAGTTTAATGGGTATGTTCTAATTTTTAATTGAGGGCATTTATTTATTTGTTTATTTGGGGTTGGAGTGTTAAAAGAACATTCAATCTAGATTAAAAAAAATATTAATAAAATAATAAATTTTATTATTTAGCTAATATAATGGGCTATTAGTGGCGCTCTGAATGTCAACAAATCATTTTTGATTTAAAAATGTGAATAGTTTAATAATGATGTGATTGTGTAAAACTTTTATTTCATATTTTTTTTATTATAGAAATAACTATTATGAGTTTTTTTTATTGGAGATATCATTAAGTAGTGTTTATAAGTATAGTAAATTAGGTTAACTTAAATGAATTATTATATAAAATTTGTTATTAACCTAATTGAATTTTAAAAATAGTTTTAATTGAAGATGAGCTTTGTTATAATTTGAGTTAATCAAATTATAGTAACTATTTTTTTTATTTACCAATCCAACTGATATGTTGGTTTAGGTGATGTGTTTGAGTAATTAAAAAATAATGTGACATTCTTATTTCTTAACAAAAAAAAATCACTTCAAAATCAAATCTTTATGAGCAAAACACTACTTATAGCATATTAATTCTTAAAATTCTAATATATAAAAACAATAATTATACATTTATTTTTACAACTCTTAAAGAGTATGTAAGGTGTAAAATATTTGTTCATGATGATATTATTTACTCATAATATTCATAGGACAATATTTACATGATAAATTACAATTATATATATATATATATAATATATCAAAACTATTAGATAAATAATAGTTATATATTTATATTTTTATATAATTGGATTGAGTTAATCATATTTTAAATTTAAAATCCGACCTTATTAAATAAACCCTAACTCAATTGTAAGTTAAATTGGGTTAGAAGGATTAAATGCAACTTGACATTACAATATTCCTAGTAACACTCCTAATTATAATAATAAAATAACAGATAAAAAAAGAATATCAATAATATTTTTTAAAATTAAATAATCTAAAAAAACATTTTATTCTACATCTTTTTATTTATCTTCAATTAAACAATTTTTTTATTATTTTTTTTCTTATGTGATTTCTTAATTATATGTTTTATAGTTACTAAATTTTATTATTTTTATTAAATTATAAGTTGATTTTTATTTATTTTTATTAATTTAATGGTTAAACTTATAAATTATAATTTTTTTATAAAAATTATAATGTAACTTGGATTAACATGAATAGACATGATATATGGACAGTGAAAGTGACACTAATAATGTAACTTGGGATTTCGGTAGAGAACTGTCTAATGTACCAGGAAGTTATTTATTTGCACGTAATTGAAATTACGTGCAAGAATATATGATTATCGTTTTAGAACTAAAGGAGTTGTCTCTTATTCACACCCTAAATTATTCACATTGTGTGTTATAATATATTCTTAATTTTTTTTAATTATCTTAATATTTTTTTATTTATTAAATTATTTAAATACAAAATAAATTTCTAACCTTAAACCAACTTAAAAATATTTTAAAATTTCTCTTATCCAATACCTTTATATGCCATACCTAAAATAAAAAATAATAAATGAATTCAATCATGAACAAAACAAATAATTGTCCTCATACAATATCTTAAATCTAAATAACATCTGAGTTACACCTATTCATATTATCATATGATAAATATTAAATTTTATGATAATTAATAATTATATTTTGAGATATTATTATTTTTAAAATAAATAATTAAATTTTTTATTAGTTTATATTAATTTATTAAATATATTTTATAAATTATGTATTTATATTTATTAATATTTTGAAATTAAAAATCTAAAAAACAATTAATTTATATATTAATAAAAAAACTGATTATATTATTATAATAAATAATAATATAACGATTATTTGATATTAATATAAAGAAAAATAATTACATAATTTTACATATATTTTAATATAAATATAATAATTTAAAATTATAAATATTTAGTTATTAATAATAAATAATACATAAAAAATAATATTAAAATTAATTATGTATAATTAAAAAAAAAACATGAAACAGGTCCAAAACAGAGAAGCCTAATAGAATAAAGATATGGTGGTTATTATATATGTTCCGTGGATCATAATTGAATGAGTAAAATATAAAAATATAATGTCTTTTAACATTTTTAGAATAATACTAACTTAGTTCAATAGAAGAATTGTGGAAAACAGAATTTTTAAGGAAGGGTGAGTGACCTTATTTACAAAATGAATTAAAGAGATGAGAAAGAAACAATTTTTTTATTCTTACAATTTATGTTTAAGTTTCACACTCTCTAAATCTTACAATGAAAGCCAAGAGTTTCCAACGAGCCCTTTCTCACAAACCAAACACTGCGTTTCAAGACTCCTTTATAAAAGGAGCACGGAAGTCTATTCGACTCTCTGCCTCTTCAACTGCTCCTTACTGTTCCTTTTACACTCTTCATTCCTCATTCATTTACGTTCCGTCAGGCTCTCGAAATCCTTCTACTGTTAATTTTCTCTCGCTCTGTTGCAATATCCTCACAGCATCCTCATGATCAACGTGAAACGCGAATTCGACTCTGACGGCGATAGCAGCAGGACTGACAAACGAAATTCCGAACTCCACCCTGTTAACGACGACGCTGATTACCAAACTCCTAAACGCCGTCGAGGTATTCGTTCTCGGTACCTTGCCGTCAAGAACATGATTGAAGGTAATTTCGTTCTGCACGCTTGCTTAATTCGTACTCTTCGTTGCGTTGTACGACTTCGAATACTCTTTGCTAGTTAGCACTCGATGCTTGAAACGACCGCCAATCTGTGTCGTTATCGATTTTCTGTGTAAGGAACGGAATAGCAGCGTTTTGAATCTTGCTTGATATGTACGTCATGGTTTTTTCAGATGAAAGGGAAGAAATTGCGAGGCCTGACTCTGACAAATTCAACTTGATTTTTGATGAAATGGCGAGCTTACATCAGCAAGGTATTTATTTATTTTTACTTTGACAACACTATTTCTGCGGTGATGGGGAAGCACGTTAGTAGTTAGGATTAGTTTTAAGGAATTCTCTTTAGGAACTATTGTTTCAAGGCTGTTTGTGGAAATTAAACTAATTAATTTCAAACACATATTATTAAAAGCAACCAGCACTTGCTATATACACCCAAGTATGTATATTGTCTTTGAGAATTTCATCCAAAGCACCTCTGGTGACAAAATCACGTCAAATTGGATGACTTCCATATATATAGGCTACAACTCTAGCTTCCAAATCTCTCATTAAGTTTTGTATGGACACAAATACTATTGAGATATTATTTAAAAGAATTTGATAGTCTTTTATACAAGAGATTTAATAGCTTTTATGAAGTTCTAATTCTTTTACTTGTTTTTTCTAGTAAATATTATGAATATGTATGTTTTCATTGATAAACAATGAAAAAAATAATTTTAAAATTATTGATAATAAAGGTAAATTTGGTACATTGATAATATTGTTTTGAAAAATACCGAAATTATCCACGACTACCGTGCCACATGCCAAAAGTATGGAAGTGGGTAAAACAAATTCTAGAAATTGCCCAAGAGAAATATTTTATATGGTTAATTGATTTGTATAGGACGTAAATGTTACACCATCACCTTTGGTGTTAATTTAAAATATTGAGTGATTTATATGGGAACATTACTTCATCATATTTAGTATTCAGTGTCATAAAAGAATGTAGTTCATGACATCATCCTTTGCGTCAATTTTCAAAATTGAGTGATTTGTATGAGGACATAAATGTTATGCATATGTCATCATCTTTGGTGGCAAAAAAAGATGCAAGTCATGGCGTCATATGAGTTGGGGTAAATAAAGTGGACATGCAACGTCATTTGTAGATATGCTTGTTACCTTAGTTAATAAGGTGTTAGAACTTGACAATAAATAAATAAATCTAATTCAATCTTCTAAAATCTACTTCTAATATAAGATTTACGGCTTATTTATATATTACAATTCAATCTTTCATCAATTTAGTCATATCCATTCATATCTCTTATTGAAGTCCTTAACTGATGTCAAACACATCCCTCCCATCAACAATAAAATTGATCTTCGTATTCTAACATCATTGAGTGTCGGGGAGGCGCCATTCTAGTAGACGATTTCCAACTCTATAGTCATGCACCTCTGCAACGCTACAGGACAACATGGTGTGCCAACATGTATGGGGACTTCCTTGTCAACCCAATGTTTGCTCATTGGGATATCCTAAGTGTATGATGCCACCTTCCGTGCAAAATATCCCCTTTTGTAATTGGATCTGTTCTACAATTTTTTAGTAAATAAAAAACTATTTAACCTCGTTTCTTACTTTAGTCGTGCCGCATAGTAAAAAATAAAATCACATGACTTACTATGTCTCTCATGTTTAAATTTTGCTTTTGAATTGTTTCTAATGTTTTGCCGATTTCAGTTACAAAACCAAGAGAACAAGTAGCTGATGCAAAGGCCCTTTTGGAAATAACGAAATCCTTGGTAATGTCTGTGAGAACTACTGCCAATGGGGGAATAACTCCATCAGACTTTGTTACCCACATTCTTAAAAAATTCGGGGGACAAGTTGGACCAAGTAATAGCACAGAAGATTGCAGCAGAAACTCAGTAGCTTGGAATGATATTGGAGTTGCAGCGTCACATGTTTTTAGAGCTGGTTATGGGTGCTGTACAATGTAATCTCCGTTCGATATATATGAGAGAATTATTTGTTATCCCATTCTGATATTTCTTTGGATGTTCATTTCCAATTGCTTATTCAGGATGGGCCCAATGGATGCTAAAATAAAGCAGAGGAAGGTCATTAATCGTCGAAAGCGTGTGACACCCACTGAATTGGCGCGGCCTGAGGAGGTAAAACTTATTATCGAGTCTTCAGTTGCTAGAAATAAAAAGGGAGAGAAAATGAGTAAGATCTCATAAGCGGTTTTCATTTCGATAGACCTTTTAATGCTGCACAAGTCGAGCCTAAGTCGAGAATATGGAATTGTTAAAGCTATGATTTTATTGTTTGTTATTCAGAATTGTAAACTCGGTGATTTTTATGTAATATGATATACTAATCTCTTTTTCTTTTTTTTTATTACATTAAATGTATCTTTTTGCAGCTATGTGGAGGTTCAGGGGAAGAGAGAACTGAGACTGATAAACATATGTTAACTATGTTTAACATCTTAAGGGTTAATAAAGTTGTCAAGCTTGAAAATCTGGTTTTGAATCGGAACTCATTTGGACAGACAGTGGAGAACTTATTTGCTTTATCTTTTTTAGTCCGAGATGGTCGAGCTGAAATAAAAGTTAACGAGGCTGGATGGCAGCTAGTTGGTGAGCTATTTTGAACATGCTTATATTAATTAATTCTGAACTCGATTTATTACACAGCCTAGATTTCACGCTGACATTTTCTTCATGCACTTGCTCAATGTCAGCGCCAAGGAATGCTCCAGCTTCAAATTCAGTTCGTTCTGGGGATGTTGCTTTCAGCCATTTTGTATTCCGATTTGACTTCAATGATTGGAAGGTATTTGTTGTAACAAAATTAAATTTAGTGAATCATTTTTCGTTTGTCTACGTTATTATGATATTCATTTCTTCGTTCCGAAATAATAGTTTAGTTTTTTAAAAAATATTAGTTATCTTAGTCTTTTTTTAAGCATTTTTTTAACAGTATCGTATATGATTAAGAATAATCAATATATATTATTTATATTGAAAACAGATACATGAGCAATTGAAAATTTGGAATATTTATTAATTTGTGGGTCACGATATTACTTTGAAATGTAGGGAGTAGTTTTTTCTCCTTCCCTTTTTTCTTTTGAATAATAATAGACTATTGTAATGAGCCTCGACAATCAAATGGTTGTGGAATGTACCTGTTTTTAGAGAAGAATAGTGCAGAACTGCCTATATTAGTGCTTTAAACACTCAATTTGAATCTGTCTATTCTTTAAATATCGACCTTTTCTCTATCACTTTGATTTTAATAGTCATTCAGATTATAGTAGCACTATTTTTGTCCTTGCACTTTGATTTTGTTCTGGATGCAAATTATTTAAGAAAAAATAAAGGAGTTCCTTTTTATTTTAATTTAGTCTATAAGTTTTTTCTAAATGAACTTGAGTGACTGCAAGAAATTTAGTATTAATTTCCTTTTATTTTGTATTCGTGATCTTCCATTGAATTCTCAGTTGATGGTTCGCACTGTTGAGGTTGGAGAGGAGCTGATGCCTCATAGGAACAAGTCAAGTTAGATAGTGCAGTATCTGCCGAATCTCATGGAAAAAATGCCTACGACAAAAGTTTTGGGATCTATCCAAAAGAAACAACGCTTACAACAAAATGATGCATTTTTTACTCACTAGTGTTGTAGTGGAAAAAGAGGTCAAGACTAGGTTGAGATGAAGTTTTTACATGGACGCAGACGGCACCAGCGCATAGTTTTGTTTAACTGATTTTTGTATATTTTTCTGAAGCAAGGGTGTTCGACAATCGGTGTATTTTTTAAAATTGAACTGAGGAATTAGTCGAAAATCTGTCTTTTATTTTTAAATATTTAGATTTTAATTAAATTGATATAAAACGGATATAAAAATAGTAAATTTAATTGAATATACTTTGATAAAAAATTTAAGATTAAAAATATTTACATTTTTTTAAACAATTTTATTATAAAAAATAGATTAATTTTTAATGTTTTTATCTTAAATTAAACATATTAATTTAAATAATAATTATTTTATTATGTTTTTATTTAACTTTTTATGTTTTTTTTTACAATCTTTTTATTCATAATTTTTATTTGAATAAAATAAAATAAAAATTAGTTAAAACTGAAATAATTTATTTACTTACCAAGAATTTCATTTATTATTATGTAACATATATTTACTATTATTATAAAAAACAAAAAGTATCAATACTGAGATTATTTGTGACCCTTAATTAATTCAATTATGTGTTTTAAGTCGTTTTGGTTGGTGGTTGAATAAGTAGAAGAGTGAAATATGAAAGAAAAGAAGAAAAAGTTGATGTAAAATAAATTTGTTTAGTTTAGTGAAAATATAATAGAAATACGTGAAAATTTTGGAAGTGTATCTAATTGATTTAATTGAAATTGTAGATGTTGGTTAGTGTTTTTTATATTAGATGACTCTTGAGTGTAAGTTTTGTAATAAAAATGAGAAAGTTGAATAAAAAAATGGATTATAATTATGTTTTATTAATATTATTTTTTATTAGTAAATCCTTTTTAGAAAGACATAATGTTTTTTAAGTGAAAATTGAAAACATAATTGTATTTAAAAAATAAATACAAAATTTTATAGAGAAAGTGAAGATTGACGGAGAAAATAAAAATAATTTGATATTTTTAAATTAGTGATAATTATTTGAAGTTAAAATTATTAATAACATAAAAATTAAATGTTAAAGTTAAGTCTGTTAATTATAAAATAAATTTTTGTCGTGGAAAAATAAATAAACTTATATACATGTATTACTCATTGACCTTATTCAGTATATTCAATCATGAAACTCTTCAAATTCATTTAATTAATTTCAACTTATTCTATACTTCATTCAAATATTATAATAGTTACTTTTACCCAATCAAACATTAATTTGATAATCAAATTAACCAAATTGTTTTTAATTATTAATTACAAACAATAACCAAATTACAACCCAAATGAATGTCATAATTAAATGCAATAATCATTCAAAAACTACTTGATACGATTCATAAATGACAAAGGTTATGGATTCATCTTGGTGAACGAACAAGAAAATCAATTGTACGAGGTTTCAATGTGTGATTTAAAACATAAGTCATGAATTATGTTTTAATAGATTAATTAAGGTGAAAAATGGACATAGTTAATTATTCAAATACATGATTACTAAGAATTGATTACAAAATCGTGTTAGGGTTCAATTTAAGTTTTAAAATACTTCAAATGTAATACACTTGACTATATTAACAACATAATCAATCATGTGGACAATTTAATTAATTATATTACATTTTAATTAAATAAATTTAAAACCATCTTAGTTTTTCTTTTATTTTTCTATAATCTTAAAAAAAAAATTAATTTCGATTCATGCAAATTGAAACAAATACGTTTATATAAACTTGACTTGTTTTGAATTTATTAAATGAATGAACAAGAGAGTTAAATTGTATTCTCATATATTTCGACAAAAAAAAATCATAACAATCATTAATTTCAACAAAACAGAGAAAGATATATTAACAATCATTAATTTATGTATAGAGTCTTTCAATTTAATATATATATATATATATATATATATATATATATATATATATATATATATATATAATTTAGAGACTTGTGGAAGTTTATAATTAAAAAAAAATATTTATATAAAATTAAATAAAAATCACTTTTTTTAAGATATATAAAATGACAAAAATGAATGATGTCACGTGAGGAGTGAAGGAAGCATGTGAGGGAAAGTGCGGCAGCGTAAACGTCATAACAAATCCAACCTCATCAAACCCTCTCCTCTCTCTACGCTCCTTGTTCCAAAACCCCTCTTTCAGGATCACCACTCCTAGGGTTAGGGTTTTTCCTCGTTCAGTTTCTATCATTTTTGTTTTTCTTCTTTTCCTTTCCTCTCATCAATTGTAAGCTTAGGTTTTCCCTGCAATCTTCTATACCTAGAAGTCGCCATTTCTTCCGGATCTCGATCGATGGATACCCGCAAGAGGGGAAGGCTCGAACTCGGTTTCAACTCAAATGGTGGATTTAAGAAATCCAAACAAGGTTTGATTTTAAGTATTTTTGGTTTCCTGGGTTTTGCTATTTTTCTTCGCTTTGGTTTATTATGCTGCAAAAGTTGTTTGCCTTTGTTTTCTTCTTTTGTGTTTTGTGTTCTTCTTTGAGGAGAGAATTTTCTCTCGCAAGTTTATGAGCACAGCTTCTGCTGTGGTAGATTTGATTTAGATTGGTCTGTTTTTCAGTAGTTGGGGCAGTGGAAAACTTAACCTCTGTTTTCCCTGTCTAATGAACTCGGAACGTACGAAATTTTCTAAAATGTTATCACTCAAAAATAATTATATTTTAAAGTTGTTGGTTAATACTAATAGCTTTGGAATAAAATTTACTAGAATAATAAGCAAGGAAATGTTAACTGAGAATAAGTAATAATGTTTTGCAACAGAAACGGAGTCCTTATCTACTGGTGTAGGAAGCAAATCGAAGCCTTGTACCAAGTTTTTCAGGTTCTAATCTATTCCTATCTAATAAAATTTTTGAACTGTCCATCTATTCTCAGTAGTGGTTTATTATAATTATTTTAAGAATTAACTGTTTAATTGCTATAAAACTTAATTGTGCAATTCTGCAAATTAACTTGGCATTCAAAGCTCTTATACAGGTACATATGGTCTAAACAAGTTGTAACAGAAATAACAGAGTACAAAAAGATAACAAGTTGATGGACTATAGTTGGCACCAAGATCATTTTATCACATAATGTTTACCTTACAGCTTAATTAGTTTGTTTCCCGTGTAATTATGTTTAATATCGATTTTTCTGCCTTTAATGGGTTCTATTGCTTATGAACCCACCTTTCAATTGGTAAGCTATTAACAAACTAATATGAATTGAACGTCATTTGGGTGGGTCAGGTATGTTGTCAAAACTACGTATACATTTTGGTGGTTTTGTACTTCAAATGGTATGCAAGTGCGGTAGGCTGCAATGACATATTTATGTGGCAGAATTTTGAAATATTCCACTATCTATCATTGACAATGCTATTTGGTTACCAGTTGGTAATACAATAAATATTCATTTGAAGCTCTATATTTTTGTTTAAGTTCTTTGATTGCCTTTCCTTTTCATATAATTTTAGAGTCAGATTCAATTGTCTGATTTATAATTTTCATTGGTGACTGTCAATGTATATACATTTTAAAAAATTTCTAGAATGAATAATAAATAAATGCCAGTTTCTTGTGTTTGGGTACAGCTTTTCTAGATGTTTGTTGGGTGTCTATGTCTCTTTTCTATGTTCAATATATTCTTTTGACTTTCATAATGCACTATTCAGGGATCTGGTATTTTTTACTGTAATTATATTTCAGATTGAGTGAAGTTAATTTTGGATGGGTACAAACTAGAAGCTGTATTCATTTTATTAACTCGTGATAGCTGTCTGCCAGATTTGTTACTGTGACCTGGTTTGTCCTAAGAAGTGGGCCTTGCTTGAGATCTGCTTCTATGACATTGCCTTTCTCCTGTTTGGCTTAGTGTTCTTGCTGTATTATTTCCTTTTCAATTTCTTGGTTTTCTAATTTACTTTTTCCATCTAGTTCAATTTGGAGGGACCATTCGACCTTTTAGCATTTCAGTGTGCATAAGAGGTGTCTGAATATATTACAGTATAGTAGACAACTCTGATAGTCTAATTTTGTTTGTTTGTCCTGTTTTAAAACTCCCTTGATGACTATTTCTCTAAAATTGCCATTAATTTTTTGGTTAAATTTTATACTTAAAGGAAGTGGGAAATGAGTTATTATCTTCACTTCCACCTTCTAAATTACAAAGAGAGACTTTTGTGTAATCTGATTGTGATTTGTCTTGCAGCACTTCTGGTTGTCCATTTGGTGAGGGCTGCCACTTCCTGCATTACGTTCCTGGTGGCTATAATGCTGTTGCCCATATGATGAATCTAACACCTGCAGCACCTCCAGCATCAAGAAATGTTGCAGCTCTGCCACCTGTACCAAATGGGTCCACACCACCTGCTGTCAAGACCCGCATATGCAACAAGTTTAATACGGCTGAAGGTTGCAAATTTGGTGACAAATGCCATTTTGCCCATGGCGAATGGGAACTTGGTAAGCATATTGCTCCATCATTTGATGATCATCGAACCGTTGGACCCACTGCAGCAGGTCGTTTTGCTGGTCGAGCGGAGCCTTCTCCTGGTCCTGCCACAAGTTTTGGTTCCCATGCCACTGCCAAGATCAGCGTAGAAGCTTCCCTGGCTGGAGCAATCATTGGGAAGGGTGGTGTGAACTCAAAACAGATTTGCCGCCAAACTGGAGCCAAACTTTCGATCCGGGAGCATGAATCTGATCCTAATATTAGAAACATTGAACTAGAGGGGAATTTTGAGCAAATTAAGGAAGCAAGTAACATGGTGAAGGATTTGCTTCTGACCCTGCAAATGTCTGCCACATCAAAAGCTAACCCAGGTGTTCCTGGTGCACCTATTCGAGAGCATGGAAGCAATTTTAAGACAAAGTTATGTGAGAATTTTTCCAAAGGATCTTGCACATTTGGAGAGAGATGTCACTTTGCTCATGGAGCTGCTGAATTGCGTAAATCAGGATGAGCTTTCTGCTAGTCCGGTACATTAGCCAGAGTTATTATTATTGTTGTGCATTGCTACTTTAGCAGTACTAACAGGACTTCTGATGTTAGTTTTGCTGTTGAGTTGCGTTTCATATAATCTGTTTTGTTTATCATTTGCTACTTCCGCTTATATAATGAAAGTGGTGTTCTCTTTAGGTGACCCACTTTGTTGGAAATCATGGCTCTTGTCCCTATTTTGGGGTTGGAGAATAATTTTATCTAATAGATGCATTATAGTGTGATGGGATGGTAAAGTAATGATATTATTATTATTATTATCTAATTTAATTTATATATAATAATAATATTTTCATAAAATAATTATGTTTAATAAACATTTTTTATAATGAATAGAAAAATAGTATTCATTCGCCTTAAACTCTGAAATTTTTCTGTTTGAAGAGTTAAAATCAGAAATTTTAAAATTACGTTAAATTGAGTAATTTAACAAGGATGAAAAAAGAATTTTATTTTGTAGATTAAACAATAATTATTGTGAAACAAATGTAGTAAGTTATTAGCACATTCTCAGCGTTTAATCAAATACTGAATTCGTATCAAACTATTTCTGAGGTTGTCTTTAGTATGATAAACTGTGGCAGCAACTTTTTCTTTTTCGCATCAAGATAGGATTTCACGTAAATAATGAGATTAAAATCTACAATAAAGGCCGTAATACTTAATGAGATCCATACCCAAACCACATCTAACAAAAGGCCTTAAGAACAAAAATATATCTTCAAAAAGAATAAAACTATTTTTTTTTCATATTTCTATAGAGAATGGAATCTTATTGATAAGTTTATTTTTTTAAATTATTATTAAAAAATTTATATTTTTCGAAGAAAATACTATTATATGTGTATATATAATGATAATATTATTATCCCATCACACTACAATGTATCCGTCTATCAAAATAAGGCCAAGAACCATCATTTGCAAAGGTGGGTCACCTAAAGAGAACACCACTTCCATTATATGAGCGGAAGTTGTATTTGAAAATAATTATGTAAAACCCAACTCAATACCAAAACTAATATCGCACTATAGTACTGCAAAAATAGTATTTCACAACAATAATATAACACTTAATTAATAGAAACTTCATTCTCGTTTACGCAATTCAACAATTCCATGTGTAAAATGACATCTTTTTCCAAATGTCCAAGATCCTTTGCTTAAAATTCCTATAATAAATTTTATATATATTATGTAAATTTTTTATAAGTGGATCAATTGACCCAAATCATATCAACTCATTCTTAATTGGGTTGATTTACTTAAATTTAAAAAAAAAAATCTAAACCAATAAAAAAAATGACTGGTTTAATTTTTTTTTTCTCTAAATAAACAAAGTCATTTTTTAGTTGAGCACGTATAATCTTTCACATTTTTACATAATTTTACAAAACATTTCATTCAATTCATTTAATGGTGAAATAAATAATTAAGAATTCTGTATAAAATAAATAAATAGCGAAAAAAGAGAGAATGAATATATATTAGCATTTCTCAACCAGCAACATAAATCCGGTGTGAAAGAAATAAACTGGATATATAAACTCAAATCTACCCATCCAAAACGTTTGAGAAATAAATTAAGCTACGCAAAAAGAAAAAATTGACCTAGGTTAAATAAGATTTATTTTATTTTAATCTATTTAAATTATGATTTATTAATCAATTATTTCAAACATCTAATGATTAAAATTAATTATTATTTTAAAATAATAAATTATTAAAAATAAATAATGATAATAAAAAAGTAATTTTGTGATTGAATGAATGTCATTTTCTTATAATTTATATATTAATTCATTATGTCTTAAATTTTAAATTTAAAAATATTTTTTATTTTATTTTATTTAAACATATTTAATTAAATGATTTGATATAAATAGATATGTTAAGATTAAAAAAAATAATCAGGTCAAAATTGATCTGTTTGTTTAATATAAACCAAACTAAGTTAAAAATTGTGATTCATTTTATAATATAGGTTACATCATTAATTTTCTTACTTCCGGGTTATACTAGGTTGACCATCTATTTTAACAATTTTATTTAAATTACATAACTAATAATTTGTGAAATAAACAAATGAAAAAAAGAAAAGAAAAAGAGAGTAGTTGATAGATAAATTGATTTCCTTGGAGTTTGTAGATTGAACCATTCCGACGAAATCTTAATCTTTTATCAGGATATGAAATGGATGAGGAAAGAGGAGTGTGACACTTTTTTTATTTTTTCCATCATCCATGGCCTTTAGTTCCTCCAATTTATTCTTGTGTGTGAAAAGCAAGAAAAATGTGATGACCATGGTGGGAGAGTGACTCTGAAAATTAAGAGTGGCTGAAAAAGAGAGATAAAAAATTTGAGGGAATAACACAGTTGTTGATATTAACTATAACATATAAGTTAACTTAACTTACCATGGATTTGGGTTGGATTTAATTTTTTTATTTTTATTTATAATGAACTAAAAAGTGAATTCCACTTACTTATTCTATGGATTAAAAGGATTTATGTCGGTTTACGGTGGGTTCGTCTTTTAAAAGTAATTATAATAATTTAGTAATTATGTTTAGTATTATTCTATCTTTCAATTTTTACTTCACGTTGTTTCTATAAGTCAATTTCTCAGTCAAGTTTATGATTAATTGTCAGCGTTCGTTATTGCACCTGAGCTGCTTTCTATTCGTATGTCGCACCACTGTGTCACCATGTTTGTTGCACCACCGCATCACAATGTTTGTCACATTTTAATCTTATATTTTGGTCGAATTATAATGTTTAATATGTCATTTATTACCTTTGCCGCATTTCAATCGCATCACAATGTCACTTTATTTGAGTTTCACAATTTAATTATGCTTATTAAAAAAAAATAGTAAGTGAACCAACGTAACTCACTAACTTATAATAGAATGAGTCATTTCGTAACATTTCTAACTTATCATGAAATAAATCACATTAGACATACTTATTTTCTTCTTAACAACCCAAATTAACTTATTTTCACTTCTCTTATTAAGCCATTGAGATAGAATCATTAAAAAAAAAAAAAAAACTCTTTTCATACCCAAGCCCCTTTTTATAACCTATGAATATTATTTTACATTATCTCTCGTCATAAACTTTAACTTACCTACTCATTAATTATGTATTTTATTTTCTTTTTAAGTTATCTTTAACAAGTGATAAAAGAGAGTACATACTCGACCAGGTAAAAAATAATAATAATAATAAAATCAGACATTAGTGTACTTTTATGATTATATATATATATATATATATATATATATATATATATATATATATATATATATATATTCGATGTACTAATATTAATTGGAAAACAAGTTTTTATATAAGTTATTTTTTACATTTTTATTATGTTGGTTATATAGTTAATATAGATTTCAATAAATAGATAATGGGTGAGCTTTCATTTTTCATTTGAAAGATTAAAAAAAATATTCAGCTAAAAAAAATAGATTTATTTCGATCCAATCCACATATCAATATGTAAAATTATTGGCTTTGTTTTATAAAATATAATTATTTAAAATAAAAATAATATTATTTTATTAATAATATATATAATAATAATTTAATAAAATATTTACTTATTAAAAAATAAATATAAAAAGAAAGATTTAATTTATTTTAAAATCTAATTATTACAATAAATTATTTTTTAGATTATTAAATTACTAAAAAATAATGATGATAATAAATAATACATTTTTAATTTTAATTTTAATATTTAATTTATTCTCTCATGATTTATACATTAAATTATTAAATATAATTAAAATTAATTTTTAATATAAATTAAATTTTGAAATACATTTTTTTATTTTTATGTAAATTTTGTTAATTATTTATTAATATAAATATCTTTATATAGTTAAAATGATTTTACTAGTTTATTAACATAAAAATTATTATCATGTCAAACACATTGATAATCTTACTCTTTATATTTATATATTAATTATGATCATTTATCACTTTTATTCGTTATCAATTTTAGTCAATTCACTAATTATATTTATAAGTGATTTGGGAAGTATTGAAAGATTTTTTTATTTACATATATTTCTCCACATAAGTTTATTAAAAAGTGGTGGACCAATCAAATATAAAAATATAATAAATTGAGTTAATTAGAAAATAATAATATTAATAAATAAATAAAGAGAATATACAATAACTAAGTTAAAAAAAATAATGATAATAATCGTATTTTTTATATCTACACGTGTATATATCTTATTGTATTAATTTTATATAAAAAAGTTATATAGATTATTTTTTATAATTAACTAATATAGATATCGCAAGGTTGATAGTAAGTAAACTTTTCATATGTTAAAAATTAATATAAAAACGAATATATAAGATCGATTATGTAAACAAATTAAAAGATATAATTATATTTTTTAGATATAAATTATTGATATTAACTTTTCACTATAACCTATTTTTTTCGTAATATATTATTTTTAATTATGATTAATAGGTTCATAAAAAATAACATATGAAAATGTAGAGTATAGATAAAAACAAATGTTTAAAACATCGTATTTTTGCTAAAAAAACAAAATAAATTTATTATGTTTAAGTAATTATGTAATAAATAAAATACTTAATATATTTTTAAAATGTTTAAAATATTTGCTTTTTTTCAAATTGTAAATTTTAAAAAGTGTTTGAAGAGTGTTTTCAAACTTTTATTCTGGTTGTTTATTAAAAAAATGTGTTTATATGTGTTCAATAATTAATAATATAAATTTTAGAACAATAAAAACTAACAATAATATTTAAAATCTTAAAATTTTATTTTTAGAATTTATATGATAAATTACAAATTTAAAATTATTAGATATTAAAAATAAACATATAATTTACCTTTTAAAAAAATGTTTTAGAAAAATGATAAAAGAATTAAAAATTAAAATTTATTTTATA